CAATGGCCACCAAAATCTCCAGATACCAATCCGTTGGACTATTGTGCCTGGAGTATTTTGGAAAGCAAGGTTGGCACTAAAAAATACCAAAGTGTCGATCACCTCAAGCAAGCGCCTCACCGAGAATGGGCCAAAATACCGCAGAGCAACATTCGTATGACGGTTTCATTGGCCGTTTGAAGGCCATAATTCGTGCCAAAGGTGACCAATTCGAACAAATCTAAGCTTATTCTAAAATTTGATGCTATTTCCGACATTTTTTTTCTTTCATTCAATAAAGTTTAAGAAATAAAATGTAAAAATTATGGCATTTGACTTTGTTGCAGTTTTTTTATCGCACCCTGTACTTCTCCCAACCACAAACCTGGGATGAATATCGGTCGCCTACATCTGGTACCTCACGCAAATTTTAACATTTTTCAAAATTATCACAAAGCTCATTGCAACTGAAATGTCGTCCTTGCATCACACGGTATGTACAACTTCTACATATGGACAATTTGAAAGTACATATGTAAAAAAACATATCGTCTGATAGAGCCTTAAGTAGCCTCGCGCATTTCCATTAATTTAAACAACTTTTTATAAAACCCATTTATTTGAATATAGCACTTTTAACTATTAACATTTCCTCGAATCGTTAATCAAACACATTACCCTGATCGTAGAAGTATAGATGGTTTTTTACCAAAATCAATACAAGATACGCCTTAGCAGGAGCTTCTGTTTCGCATACAAAAGACAGTCGTCTACGCACATTGTACCTAAAGAATTTGGAATAATATTAAGAAAGACATATATTTCTATTGAAACTGAATCACAGAACCATTATTCGTTGCCCAACTCGTCTTTCAATTCTCTAATTTTCAACTGACTAATAAAAACAATCAAAGGTCAAAATCGATGCTATTTAAATGCAATAAATCGGCCATCTACAAATGTTTATTTAAATCACTCGTGTGTTTCTTCTTCACTTCCTAGAGCTACAAAAAAAAAAGAATCACAGTTCATTAAAACAAGCATTTCACATATTTTATTATCCCGCCAGCACTTATGTGCATACAACTGTGCGAATGTTCCACCACCAGAGCTGTACATAACACCTTCCCGAAATACAATTTATTGATATTGATACCTACCTTCTCTTGGAAAGCTTCACTGGTGATATTCGTCTACCACCACAGGTTCGTTCTTTTCGGACATTTGTTGTTTATTTGAATTCTTTTTGAAAGATAAACATTTAGCTTTTTGTTGTTTCTGGCCTTACTTTGGAAAAAAGGTGTAAAATAAATATAATTAATTGGTTATGATGGTTCTCATTTGATTTACAAAGTAAATCAAAATGTTTATAGAACTTGAAATTGGTGTAAACTATGGGTATAGTAACGGGATTGGTCGGTATATCCAGCGCTATGACCTAGCACATAATTAAAATTATCAAAATATGTTTATATTTGTTGTGATACATGTATTTTAATCAAGTGATCGATCCATTACCTAGCCCTACTACCGCCTGCCCAAATTTGTATTCTATTGACCAAGGAATGTTGCTGGGTGGGTGTCTACTGACACGCGTGCCTTCAACACCAACTCAGTCATGCCCCTGCTGCTTTGGGGGAATTCTTGCGGCGACGAATCGATAAATGAGAGAATAAATTAATAGTTTCCTTCGGAACTCGGAAAACGAAAACAAGAATTACTTACGGGACCGGCACAGCAGCCACGGCCAGACATTGAAAATGTTGCATAAAAACCACAATTTTGTTTTCTTTTTGAAATGTTTGTTGATAAACAACAAAGCAGTGAAATCATTTGAAATTTTTATGTTCAAAATTTTCTAATTTATTGCATTTGATTTTCAAAACTATTTATTGTGGTTTTGGATGTACTTGGACTTGGATTTTTGTTTGTAGGTGAATGGAAAAATTAACTAATTACAGGGTGATACAAATGGGAAATCTATAAAGCATACATTCATGGTAGAAGAATATGAGAGATGGATAGACACAGCTGCTGGGACAATGAACTGTCAAACCAATTTTGGAATTGAAAATGTTGAATGAAAAATAATTGAAATTTGTAAAAATTGTTTAAAAACGAGTATTATAATAACCTCGGAATGGCGTCGTATAAGAAAACATATAAAAACAAGTTAAAAAGTATCAGTCGGTTTTGCTAACAGATGTATACCTTCAGCCAATGGTCGATTATTTGAATATACAGGGTGAGATAAAAAAAAACTGTAACAAAGTCAAACGACATAATTTTTCACTTTTTTTTTTGTTTTTGAATTTTATTGAATGAAAGCTAAAAATGTCGGAAATTGCATCAAATTTTGGAATAAGTTTATGCCATGTTGACGTTAGAACTTTTTGTAGGGTTAACCTACTTTGAGAGGATTTATTTGAAGTATAAGTAATGGATATGACAATTAATCCAAATCCAGTCGATTAACCCATTTATATATAAACGTACTGTTAGATTTGTTCGAATTGGTAACCTTTGGCACAAATTATGGCCTTCAAACGGCCAATGAATCCTTCACACGTAGCCCGAATGTTGCTCTGCGGTATTTTGGTCCATTCCCGGCGAAGCGCTTGCTTGAGGTGATCGACACTTTGGTATTTTATAGTGCTAACCTTGCTTCCCAAAAGAATCCTGACACAATAGTTAAAATGATTGGTAGCCGGAGATTTTGGTGGCCATTGTGCGCTTGAAATGAAGCTAGGAACCGCATTTGGTAACCATTCTCGGATGGCGCGTGCTGAGTCCTGTTGGAATGTCCAAGGTCTGCGGTCAAAATGTTTGCGTGTCTAAGGCCTTAATACACCCTCCTGAATATTTTCTCGATAATATTCGGTCCATTAATCCGAGCGGAGAGCGACCATCGGCTGTTATGGCAGCCCACACCATCACCATGGTCGGCGCTTGAGTTCTGGTGGCCAACCGAAGGTGTACATTTTCAGCTGACCTCTTTGGCAAGTAAACACGATCATTTTGTTTGTTTACAAACAGCTGGACAACGAATGTTTTCTCATCGGAGAAAACTAAATTCGGCAGTTCACTACTTTCGGCCAAGCGAAGCAACTCTTTTGAGTCTATTTTTTTTCTGTTGCGGTATAAGTTCTTGTACTTGTTGGAATGTCAACGGCTTTACACCGAGCTCACTTTTCAATATTTGCCGAATGGAATGTTGTGATATCTTCAGCTCACGGACCATTTTTCGGCCACTGCAACGCGGGTTTCGATCAAGTCGCTTCTTTACTTTTCGAACCATTTCTGCAGTTTTTTCATCTCACCCCGTATGTGGGGAGGAACCAGGGGAAATGGTCCGATCTCTACCATCTTTATAACAGATCTTGTGTTGATGAAAATATTCAGATGTACCAAGTCTGAGCGGAATCTGATGTTAATTTCGTGTTTTAGGAGCTTCATGGATATTCAAAATGTTGACTCTTTGTGGGGGAGGTGCCAAAAGGAGTGGACCGATATATCCCATCTTCACAGCAGATCTTGTGTTAGTAGAAGTAATAGAATGTGCAAGATATAAAGAGAACCGGATGCTTATTTCCGATTTTATAATCGTTTGAGTTATTCAAAAGTTTGACCCTTTGTGGGGGAGGTACCAGAACAGATCAATAGATCTTGTGTTGATGAAAATATTCAGATGTACCAAGTCTGAATGGCATCGTATGTTAATTTCGTATTTTATGATTTGTCCCTTTTTGGGGTAGGTACCAGAATCTTCATCTTCACACCAGACCTCGAGTTAATAACAAATATTGTGATGTGTGTAATTTGAAGACAATCGGACTCTTAAGGCATGTTTATGTTAGATCTATTTTCTAGGTTAACCTTTGTTATGAAGATTTTTTGAGGGTTCTAAATCCTTTACAACGTAAACGTAATATTACATCACATTTTATAAGTCATATATATTCAAAATTTTGACCTTTTTGTGGGGAAGGTACTTGATGGAGTGGACCGATATTGTCCACTTTCGTACCTGAACTAGCACTGATGCAAATATTAGGATTTGCAAAGATGAAGCAAAATCGGATTATCCTTTCTCTATGTGTGCAGTAAAATATTTTTTTGAAAATGTCGACCTTTTGTGGGGGAAGGAACCAGAAGACTAGACCGATATTGTCTTTGGAGATGGACTTGATCTAAGTTTGATAATAATATTACGATGCACCAAGTTTGGACCAAATCGGAGACTCCCCGAGAGTTATCTTGACAGACGGACGGATGAACGGACATCGCCAGACCGATTCTAAATTTCCTGAACGAATTTGGTCCAAAGAGACCTAGGATCTAAAACCGTTATTTCGATGAGGCACATTTTGGCCGCATCAAATGATATATATATACCCTCTCTAGTCGTATGACTGTGGTTATACAAAGTGTTTTTTGGTTCGTTTTCGGTTTAATAATTTCATTCGATAAACAAAAATCGATATTTCATTAAAAAATAACTATTAGCTACTTTCCCCTGTTTTAGTTTCAAACAATCATCCCACATATATACCTCAAAATATTCCATCAAGAATATTGATCATAATGGCCCACCATCTAGCAAAGATAAAAATCCATTAGTATATTTTTCCAAAATAATTACCCAGCCAATATTAATGTAGTTATCATCAATATTGTGAGTGATTCTTTTCATTTCTTCATCAGTCGCTGTTGTTGATGTTTAGAAACTTGTGTTTTCTTACATCTGGCAAAAGAAAATAGAAAATTGATTTATTTCCTAAATGATTTGCGATCTAAACAGGCAATTGGATGCACCACGGTCAAGTGATTTTTCCGAATACCGGCAATTATTTATAATTTCTCTCTGTGGGCAAAGAGAAAAATATGAAAACAAACGGAGAGCCTAGAAGTATGCTTTAGATTTTGTAATTTCTTCAATAGAGGGGGATGCTTTCTAAATATAAATAATGTGTCAGAAAAACAATTATTCTTTTTACTAATATTTTTTTTTTAATTTCCAGGTCCTTCCCATCTCCCACCTAATGCTCAATATTGGACAAGAGAATGTTCAGCAACAGGAATACAATCCAACATAAAAATTATTCTCCATACCTACCGGGAGATGCAAATGTAAAAAATCTCCTTAAACCATTTACAAAATATCGCAGAAGATACAAATATCAAAAGTACCCTCGGACGAGCTGTTGAATAAATCAGCTCATCCTGGTCGAATTAAGGAATTGAACATATCCTGCATTTGCATTCTGCATTAAAACCATGTCATCTCGTCGCAGTTCAGTACGGCGCAGAGAAAAACCTCCATTCCAAAGATTTAAAGATCATTGCCGTAAATTTACGGCGTTTATGTTTAGTAATGTCGGTATAATATTACTCGTTATATTCTATACGATTGGTGGCGCGTTTATATTTCAGGCCATCGAAATATTCGAATATGAACGGCAAATGGCTGTCCATAAAGATGTTGTACAGTTGGACTATACGAAAGACATTTTGGATCGTTTGTGGATTGAGACAGCAACAAATATTAGTTTTTATGATCGTCATAAATATAAGGAGAGGTGAGACTTTAACACTTTCAAAAAAAAAAATTAAAGAAATATTTAACATCTCACAAATTTCAGAATCAATGAAATACTAATCGAGTTCCAAAAGGCTGTTGTCAATCAAGAAAAAGAGGCTATAGATCCACACAAGCAATGGAGCTTTTCCGGTGCATTTTTATATTCCCTAACGGTTATAACAACAATTGGTAGGTGAAAGGGTATATTTCTCCATGACGATACGAACAGGAAATCAAAAGAAAAAAAGACCCATTCCTTTTTTTTCTTTATTATTTATTTATTTATTTATTTATTTATTTTTTTTTTTTTTTGATTTAAAAAAATACTCGTGGAACTGGTGTTTTTCTTTCGAGTTCACTTTCGTATCGTCATAGAGAAACAGCCCCTACTTATATTTATTTATTACAACTTTGAATGGAAATTAATTAATATTTGTTGTTATTTTTTAGGTTATGGCAACATATCACCCCGTTCCGACTGGGGAAAATTAGTAACCATTCTCTATGCAATCATTGGCATGCCCCTATTTTTGCTATACCTATCAAATATTGGTGATGTATTGGCAAAATCATTTAAATGGATTTATTCCAAAGTATGTCTGTGTCGCATATGTCCCGGTGTGGCCAGAAGACGTTTGATGCGTGAACGACGTAAACTGAGGGCAGAACTAATGACAAGAGCAGTAAGTTGTAGCTCACATCGCTATCAATTTCAAACTAATTTTGTTTGACTTATTAACAGTTAGCTGAAATGGAAGAATCCCGCCATAGCAAATACACCTCGAGTAGTAGTACAAGTGACAGTGCTTCCAGTTATTATTCCGACGAATCAGAAAGTTCCTCCAGCTCGAGTCGTAGTCCACGTTATAATGACGGTAGCCAAGTGATGAGTCGTAGCCGCTTGGAAGCATTAAATATATTGGAGGAAGAAGACTTAACGGATATTGACAAGGAGATGCGTGGTAGTACCGATGAAATAACTGTTCCTATAACTGTTTGTGTTCTCATAATGATAAGGTGAGTAAAGATTACAAGTAAAAACACAGATAAGATCGGACGTTATGAAAATGTACGACCTAAAAATATTTTTAACGAAATGAGGGAAAAATTAAAGAAGTTCCAAGAGTTCGAGGGTTACCTCAAAATGTGAAAGCACATTGAGACAATATATTATCCACTGGGAACGCGAATTCATATGTTACAGTAAAACAATAATATAAATAAATTTCCATCCCTTGGAACTAGAATATCTACACCAACATTTGTCATATAACAAGAATATGTATGCGCCTATAAGTATGCTTTAAAATATTAACTCTTACATGTTATTGTGAATGTTAAAAACTAGAGGAATGGATGGGAACACAAACAAGTAAACAACAATAAAAAGCATCAGTTTAAATTTTAATTCGAAGGACAGCACAAAAAACCACAGAAAGGTCTGGATTTATAGAAGCACTTGAAGAATCTTCTACATAAAAAAGTTAAACAGATGTTTATCAAAAATTTTATTTTTTGAAAACTATTAAAATATGGTCCAGTAAGACCACAGTATGTCATTTATCTGAAAAATCTATAGAGGTCTAATATTTACAAACACTTATAAGATATTCTTCAGAGTCCATTTACAGAAGACATATTTATATTAAAGGTCCCATAGAAGATATATATCAGATTTCTTCTATCCATCATCACAGATAATCTACCTAAAAAAATTGTATGTAAAATGTTTTCCACATGAAAAGTTAAGAGGACGTCAAATATTTGAAACAACATTTAAAGTTCTTAAGAGATTAAGGATTCTTCTATCTCTGGAAAACCGATAAAGCTTTTCCATTTATAGGAGACATATTTATATCTAAGATGCATAATTTTTTCTATCCTTCAAATACCCAAATATAAGTTACCCAATAAAATTAAAGAAGGGTTATGAAGGGTACTTTGTATGTAGGTTTAATATTTAAAAACATCTAAAAAGTATCACTCAGCTTAATAAGTTTTCTATCTATTGAAGACCGATAAAGCGTTTTCAATTAAAGAAAACATATTTATTTCGAAAATCAAATAGAATGTCTATAAGATTTTTTCTATTCAAACCTAAACAATTTTGGCAGACTTAAAGAGTGTAATTTTTGTGAAGAATGTTTTCTCCATGAAAAGTTAAAAGGAGGCCGAGTATTCGCCATCAATCCTCTCAAGGTTAAAAAACAACTTTGCCATCGATGAATGCTAATCGATATAGTCTTTTTTAATCAGAACTGAATAGTGGCACAGAAAATGTTCGATATGTTGTATTTAGAGACGTAAATAGGCTGGGCTCCCTTGCAAATGGTAACTTATTATACCCTCCACCATAGTATGGAAGGTTTTTTTTTCTGATTTTAGCCGCATTATTCACCAGAAATTTTTCAAATTGGGTATTTGAAGTTTGTAATGAATACTACAGCCTATGCCAGAAAATTGTCTGTGCAGGGCCACGTTTTGGTATAGCCCCCATTTTGATGATTTTATGCGGGTCGTCGTATTGATCCTAATATAACGGCTACATTCCGTATATTTTAAAATTTTAACAGAATTTTCAACGGATTTTATTTATTTATTATTATTATTATTTTTTTTTTTTTTTTTTTGAAAATTCGTTCCAAATGGTTCAAAGTTTTTTTTACTGTGTTTATTAGCACTGGATAGCGGCACAGAAAATGTTCGATAGTTTCCGTTCCTCCATCTTCGTAGACCTTCAACATTATCTTTTCTGTATTTAGAGATGTAGATAGGGTATTAACCCGGTCTCCCTTCCAAATGTTAACTTGTTTTGTGCATTTTAGTACATGGAAAATTATTATTATTATTTTTTTTTTGCAATTAGGCAATCTTCGATCTTCTAATGTCATTCAGTTCATAACAATTTTGGGTCTAAATTCCCCATCTGTGAAAATGTGAAATGAAAATTACTACATTTATATTTTTTTTCCATTTCACATCTCATACACTTATAAAAGTTTTCATAGAACTAGATTTGAGGCTCTAAACTAATTTTAATTATTCCCTTTCAGTTACATTCTTTGGGGAGCCATATTGTTTGCCCGCTGGGAACAATGGAAAATCCTTGATGGCAGCTATTTTTGCTTTATATCCTTGAGTAGTATTGGCTTTGGAGATCTTGTGCCTGGCGAAGGTCTTGTAAGTAGCCACAACTGGTAAAAATATAACAAATCAATAATTTAACATTTACAAACAAATTCTTTACAGATAACCGAAGACAAAGATACCGTGGGTGTGAGTTTTATTATGTGTGCCGTTTATCTGTTGCTGGGCATGGCGTTGATTGCTATGTGCTTTAATTTAATGCAGGTAAGCTTTGGAAAAAAATAAAATGATTTCAATAAATGATTATAAATTATTTTTATTTTATTTTTATCTAGGAACAAGTCATACATAATCTGAGAGCCTGTAAACGTGCCTTTAAGGCCTGCTTCCGTTGTCGAGGAAGGGGTTAGAATTAGTAACTGATATATATGCATATTCATGTGTATTGTATATGGCAACAAAGTAGACAAACAAATGTGTTCTAATTAGGTTTAGTATTAAATTCACTTTTTATAATTTATTTAAAAATTGATTTCATAAATTCATTTATTGTTGTAATATATTTTATTTAGATTTAGTTTATGAAATTCTAGTTTATGTACATATTTTTATTTTCTTAAATTAAATGTAAAACGCTTCGATTAGAACTAATTTTATAAGAAAATTTGTTAAATTTTAGGTTATGATGCGACAAAATTAGAATATATTATTGAAAATTATACTTAAAGCAAAAAATAATTATACATTTTCCAAAGGTTAGCAAAAAACAAATTTTAAGTATTTTATATGAAATTACTATTCATATAATTTATAAGATAAGAATAAAAAATAAATATATTTTTTACTATGGAAATCATGATTATACAAATGCGAAACTTGAACAAAAAAATTCGGTGAATAAAGTAGCTAAAATCATCAAAATATCGAATATCGAGAGGTACCATTATATGGGGGCTATACCAAAACGTAGACCTGTCAGACAATTTTCAGTCGTAAGCTATAGTATCCATTACGAACTTCAAATGCCAAATTTGAAGCAAGTCCGGTGAATCACTAAAATCACCAAAATACCGTTATAATGGGGCTATACAAAGGCGGAAAATTTTCTGTCATAGACTGTAATACCTGTTACGAACTTTATATACGTAATTTGTAACAATTCCCCTGAATAATGTCGCTAAAACCATCAAAGTAGCGAATATCGGGAGGTAGTGTTATATGAGGGCTATACGAAGGCGTGGACCTACACGGACAATTTTCTGTCATAGGCTATAGTATCCATTACGAACTTCAAATAGCTATAATGTCGCTATAATAACCAAAATAACAAAAATAGGGAGATACAATTACATGGGGGCTATACCAAAACGTGGACCTACATGGCTACCAAAAGTCCTGCAGACATAATATACATTTGAGTAAAATTTTATCAACCTACTTCATTTCATTCGGAATCTAGAGTGATTTCCACAGACGGTCAGACGGATAGACGGACGGATATCGCTAAATCGACATTGAATTTTATGCTTATCAAGTATATATGTACTTTATGGGGTCTAAAATGTATGTTTCGAGGTGTTACAAACGGAATGTCAAACTTAATATACCCTCCATATTATAGTAGAGGGTATAAAAATAGGCCCTAAGCATCCTTGAAGCCAAGTAGTTACATAATGCAATATTGCATGAAACTTTGCACCAGGTCGCCAATGTGTAATAAACATTGTTGAACAAAAAAAAGTACAATAATTTTAAATAGTCACAATAATATCAAAATTATCAAACCCATCGCTAGATTTCTAATATGCAATTTGCATGTCCGAAGTGTAACAAATACAACAATTAATTAACTAATTATTAAAAATTAGAACATTTTGTTATGACTGTTTTTGCTAATTATCTTGACGGTTCAAATGTATATAAGTACGCCTAAATAGTTCCAACTCTTTATTCATAGTTTATATATAAAACTCGACTTGAAAATTCGGAAAAAAAATCATGAACAAACTGTCAATACGGTTTTATTTAATTTTTGCTTTTTCGAATCTGTGCTGGCTTCCTTTGAGCGGGGGTCAAAATTGTGAAGATAACTCTATAATAACGCAAGAGGTTTGTCCTTAAGGAAATTTTGAAATTTATTTTTTGTAAATGAAAGGATGCGAATTGCAAGGATAAAAAATTAACTTTTAAAGAAATTGCATATTATGTAGAAACAACGGGTCGAACATTTTATAAAATTCGCCAGGAGTATAACACCAAAATGTGTATTAAATTTATTTTGTAAAATGTGTCTTGAAATGTTATACTAATTTATACCACGTCCGTGGAAAACAAGATCTTAAAAATGCAAATTTGCAGGGATCTTAAAAATGCAAATTTGTGTGTCATATAAGAGGAACTATTCCAAGCATTGGAATTATTTGAATAATAGGTGTGTCTGGTTACCCTAGAATTTGTAACAATTGTTGCAAATTGTTACTGGAAGTCGTCTGTTAACACAAAAGTTCTGCAAAAGAGAGCCATTCGAGAGAGAAATTTCGACAGTTCTTTTAGTGAGAGCTTGCTGGACAAAATTCTTCTTGCGAACACTTGCAACTCTTCTTCTTCTCCTTCCGGTGATGCATATTTGGTCAAGAAATTTTAAAAAAATTTTAATTTGAAAAACACAAGCCCAATTGTTTTGTTTTTAATTAATATTTATTTAATTCTTTTTGCGTTCCTAAATTCTTTTATTTATGGACAAATTGCTTTGTTTTGATAAATCAGCTGATTGATTGCAAATTTTTGCAGGAATTCCGTTTGTTTACTTTTAACAGTTTTCTTGCAAAAGAGAATAAAACTACAAACACTCTCTCAGAAAGAAGTTGCTGGACAATTCCTGCAGGCAAAGTAACCAGACATACCTAATATTTTGAATTATGTTGTTTCCACCAACCTTAGTTAAGAGGCATTTTTAGAGCCTCATCGTCCAAATTTTACACCGCCAACATAAATAGAATAAAGCACTTTAAATGAAGCCTTTTCCAACTAAATTCGCCAAAAAATCTGACAAACACAAAAATCTACATACTGGATTGGCAGCCGCTGACCGAAACTGTGGTGTTATTGTTTCGGGTCCATCGGCTATCGTTGAACCCGCTGAGTGGGATTGTTTTTTTAAACCAGGAGCTCGAACCAGATTAGCAGAATTCAAACATCTGCATATATTATTGCTACAAAAACAGCAAAAAAGCTGACAGAACTAGACTAATAGGCCGTTCAGCAAACTTATTTTCTACCAACTACAATGCAAATGGCAGACAAATAGAATATTTGATTTCCAGCATAAAAATTCCAATATATGTCCAAAATTTATTGTAGCCCACATTTCGCCTTATTCAGAGTTTCAAACAAAATTATTCGCCAAAGCGGCTGTTATCTAGCACTTTGTTTTTTTTTTTGGGTTACGAAGAAACGTTTCAATATAAGCCCCAGAAACCCTGTACCGTTCGTTATAAGAATATATCGCAACATTATTTCAAAACTTCTTGATGTAATGAAATATCCCCCATGTAACGGAAGCAGATTTTGAAATTTTGATCATAAGTTTTAAGAAAAAAAAAACAAAATATTAAAAAATGTTCGAAGAAAAAGTTTTTACGCCTTCGAAAAAATACTCACCCGCCAACGACACGAACAATTTTAAAATAATGCCGGCTTTGTTGTTTGCTTGGGGATTGAACATTTTTCAATTTCTTTAGATATGAAACGGACGTAAAACAATTGATTTCTTGTATTGGTTTAAAAAACTAAAAAAGGCAAATAAAAATGCAACAACCAAAAGAGCATTTGAAGAATTATAGCAGAAAATTGTGGATTAAATATGAAGACTGAACCTCTAAACGCGCTGGCTGTCAAAAGATGTCATATTGGAAAAAATTGCTAAACTAAAAAAAATAATTAAAAAAAGTAGTAAATTTGGATGAAATGTGTGTGGTATGAACATTTAAAGAACACAAGAATCTTTAAATCCATACGGTAATTGAAAGAAAATCGTGGAATAAATCAGGAATCAAATCTATCAAAAGAACTAGATGTCATTCTCAAAATGTTGTCTAAAATAAAAAAAAAATTAAATTGGAAAACCATCGTAGACAAAATAAAACCTGAGTAATATGCGCGATATGGACATGTGAAAAAATGGCAGAATAAATTTGAATATTAATGCAGACTTTGAAGAGAGAATAAATTCAAAAGATAAAATGAAAATTTAGATTTGGAAAACATGCTTGAAAATGCCATATTCCCCTCCCATTGAATTTGTAGTCGGAGAAAAATAGCAAATAACAATTCCCAAAAGGGCAGAATATGAGGGATGAAAAAAAAAACAACATTTTTATTTAATTGAACGATTTGTGGTATCTTCCATAAATGACAGCACTAACATGGGAGAATTAAGCCGAAAAAAACTGAACTACAGAAATTACCATTAATCACATATTTTTGTATCCTGCACTAAGGGTATATGGTTTGTCGTTCTGTTTGCACCACCCGAGGACCCCAAAGGTATATTTTAAATCAAATATACGATGATTGGACTTAAAATTAGATGTGGACCTATATACCACATTATGTATACCTATAACCTAAAGTTAGCATTCCGGTCATGCATAACAGTAGGTTCTCGTCAAGCAAAAAATGTGTTGCCTCCACATTACGGTATTTCTCGATTTTAAGTATATTGAAGCTTCTATGTTATATTCAAAATAAGATTACTATTTTGGGTTTCTTAAGTTGGTTAAAAATTCGGAATATGCTTAAAATCGGGGATAAACGCTGACTTATTTCACATGCTGTGCAAGAAATAAGCATTCTATAGAATGCTTCAATGGATGGATGTGATTAAATATTATAAAAAATATTTACTCTCTGGATATCCAGGGAATATTTTGAGATGCTACAAACGAAATGACATACTTAATTACACCCTCCATCTTATAGTGCGGGACATAAAAATATGAAATAGTTTAGAATTGATCCCAACTGAACTTCCCTATTCCAACCACTGCTATTTTTCATATTCTGCAAGAATGCAAAAAATGTTACTGCTATAACTGATTTTCCTTTATAAAATCGAAAAAATTGCAAGATGTCACTACACATTCACAGAGATTTTACCGACATTATTCACCATAATTGTTTCAAATTTCGTATTAGACAAAGAGGTCCTCCTTTTTGCATAGCCCCTATATGACAGTTTTCATTATAGCGGTATTTTTCGACGGAATTTTTGTTTTTTTTTTTTTAATTTTCAAGTTTTTTCCAAATGAAGGAGAATATTAAAAGTCCGGCACGGCCAAACTTAGCTGTTTCTTTACTTTCTTTCAATTTGACGTTTTCATATTATCTCTTGAATTTATTATCCTGTGTCAAGAAATGTTTTCTAACATTTTCTTTCAAAAAACGTTTCAATTTTGAGATTTTTATAATAATTAAATTTACATATTGCCCATGTTATTCATATCTACAAATATTTTTTGCTGTTTCAGATTTATTCCACCATTTATATCGAACATCCAAATCGCGCAGGTTTTATTTGATCTACGGTGACTTTTCCAATTCATTTTTTTATTTTAGAAATTATTTTGAGAATGACATCTCTTAACAACCATATTTTAATAGATTTGATTTCTTATTACATTTTCACTCTAATGCCGTGTGGATTTTAATATTATTCTTATCTTTAAATTTTTATATTACACAATATCAGACTTCAATCATTGTTCCAATTTATTTTTCATTTCAGCAATTTTTTTTCAAAAATGACATTCCGGTGACAGTCAACGTCTTTGGGAGCTTTGAATCCAGATTTATTCTAGCGATTCTACTACTTGCAGCAGTTATTCTTCAAATGCTCTTTGGATTGTGGCATTTTCATTCTCGTTTATACGATTTTTAAACAAAACAAGAAATCACAATTTTTACGTCCGTTTCATATCTAAAGAAATTGAAAAATATTCGTTACTCAAACAAAGGACAAAGCCGGCCATATTCTGAAATTGCTTATGTCGATGCCGGTTGAGATTTTTTTCAAAGGCGGCAAAATTTTATCTATTAAATATTTTTGAAAAATTTTTTATTTTCTAAAACTTATTAAACTCAAAAAATTTTACCCAATTGTTTCGAGTTTGGAGAGTGATATGAGAGGAATAAAGTGACACTGACAATTTGTCAAAAAGTACCCAAATACAAATTAATATGAAATTTGATTTTGTATTGTAAAATGTTTATAAAAAAATGTAGAAATAAGAAAATGCGGCACTTTGAGGATCATGTTTTAAACTTGAAACGTAAATTAACAAATCGGCTATCAATAATGTGCGGTCATATTATATGTTCAATGGATTCTAAATAGTTTATAACATTCTGGTCTAGACCACCATTTTCAGATGTAATGCAAACAAGTAAAAAAACAATAAGTTCGCGAACCGAACTTTAAATACCCTCCACCATTATCTAAAGAAAATATTTTTATAAAAATAAGTATCTGGATTCAAACGTGTTCTACTTTAAAATACAAATAAAATGTTCTGTCAACGGAGCTAGAACTAATTACGAACTGCAAATACCAATTTTTAGACAAATCCTTAAAAAAATCATCAATCAACAAATATCGGTATATACAGTTAAATGGTGGCTATACCAAAACGTGGAGCGATATATGCTCAACTGATCACAAATAACTGTATCTAGACCACAATGCTCGCATAAATTATTAAAACTTATCAGTATCCAATGAACATTTACTTGCCTTTTGAATATTCTCCAATACCGCCAGCATTATTGATAGTCAATTGAATTTATCACACCCCAAGATTTTCAAAATAATGCTCCACGCATTTCCACATAACCCTGTTTTCACATTTTTTTATTAAAATCGGATAAAATATTTTTGCTCATAAAAAATAAAAATTCAAAAAAAAAAAAAATTGACGCCTTCGAAAAAATCCTCAACTGGCATCGACACAATCAATTTAAGAATATGGCCGACTTTGTTGTTTGTTTGGTGGTCGAACATTTTTCAATTTCTTTAGATATGAAACGGAAGTAAAACAATTGATTTCTTGTATTGGTTTTAAAAACTAAAAAAGGAGAATAAAAATGAAACAATCCGAAGTACTTTTGAAGAATTATGGCAGAATATTGTGAAATAAATCTGAATTCTGAACCTCAAAACGCGCTGGCTGTCATGAGATGACATTTTGGAAAAAAACAATTCTAAACTAAAAAATTAATTAAAAAAAGTAGTAAATTTAAATGAAATGTGTGGGTATGAACATTTGACGAACACAAGAATCTTTAAATCCATACGGTAATTGAATGAAAATCGTAGAATAAATCAGGAATCAAATCTGTCAAAAGAACTAGATGTCATTCTCAAAATGTTGTCTGAAATAAAAAAATTAAATTGGAAAATCATCGTAGACAAAATAAAACCTGAGTAATATGCGCGATATGGACATGTGAATAAATGGCAGAATAAATTTGAATATTAGTGCTGTCTTTGAAGAGAGAATAAATTCAAAAGATAAAATGAAAATTTAGAATTGGAAAACATGCTTGAAAATGCCATATTCCCCTCCCATTGAATTTGTAGTCGGAGAAAAATAGCAAATAACAATTCCCAAAAGGGCAGAATATGAGGGATGAAAAAAAACAACATTTTTATTTAATTGAACGATTTGTGGTATCTTCCATAAATGACAGCACTAACATGGGAGAATTAAGCCGAAAAAAACTGAACTACAGAAATTACCATTAATTCTATGTTGAGGGCTCACATATTTTTGTATCCTGCACTAAGGGTATAAGGTTTGTCGTTCTGTTTGCACCACCCGGGGACCCCAAAGGTATATTTTAAATCAAATCTACGATGATTGGACTTAAAATTAGATGTGGACCTATATACCACATTATGTATACCTATAACCTAAAGTTAGCATTCCGGTCATACATAACAGTAGGTTCTCGCCAAGCAAAAAATGTGTTGCCTCCACATTACGGTATTTCTCGATTTTAAGTATATTGAAGCTTCTATGTTATATTCAAAATAAGATTACTATTTTGGGTTTCTTAAGTTGGTTAAAAATTCGGAATATGCTTAAAATCGGGGATAAACGCTGACTTATTTCACATGCTGTGCAAGAAATAAGCATTCTATACTGATTTCAATGGATGGATGTGATTAAATATTATAAAAAATATTTACTCTCTGGATATCCAGGGAATATTTTGAGATGCTACAAACGAAATGACATACTTAATTACACCCCCCATCTTATAGTGCGGGACATAAAAATATGAAATAGTTTAGAATTGATCTCAACTGAACTTCCCTATTCCAACCGCTGCTAGTTTTCATATTCTGCAAGAATGCAAAAAATGTTACTGCTATAACTGATTTTCCTTTATAAAATCGAAAAAATTGCAAGATGTCACTACACATTCACAGAGATTTTACCGACATTATTCACCATAATTGTTTCAAATTTCGTATTAGATGTTCGGAATCGCCAATGACCAAAAGGTCCTCCTCTTTGTATAGCCCCTATAGAACGTCCGTTTCATATCTAAAGAAATTGAAAAATGTTCGTTACTCAAACAGAGAACAAAGCCGGGCTTATTCTGAAATTGCTTATGTCGATGCCGGTTGAGATTTTTTTTCAAAGGCGGCAAATTTTTATTTGTTGAATATTTTTGATTTTTTTTATTTTCTAAAACTTATTAAACTCAAAAATGTTTACCCAATTGTTTCGAGTTTGGAGATTGAAATGAGAGGAATAAAGTGACACTGACAATTTGTCAAAAGGTACCCGAATACAAATTAATATGAAATTTGATTTTGTATTGTAAAATTTTTATAAAAAAATGTAAAAATAAGAAAATGCGGCAATTCGAGGATCATGTTTTAAACTTGAAATATAAATAAACAAATCGGCTATCAATAATGTGCGCTCACATATATGTATATATATACACACCTACGTCTGTTTTTACACGGTCTTTTTGTACACGGTTTTGATATAACACGGTTTGAAAATTGAATATTTTTAATTTTTTTACACGATTTTATTTCATTTAGCACGATTTGAAATTTTATGTACTTAATTTTGTTTTGTCAAATTTAATTTTTGCGAAGTATGTTCATATCACAAAAAAGTATTTATGAAAGAAAAAAGTCTGAAACCATCGATAGTATCGATAGTTTGCGAACACTAGCTTAAAGATTTAAGTGAATTCCCCTTTAGCGCGTACAAACAATTTTTGCTGGTCAAAGCAAATGTGAATAGCACTAACTTAGGGGAATGTCCTTTATGTACATACAATAAAATTTACTGGTCAGAGTAATTGAAACGTGTTAATATTTTGTAAACTGTCAATGCAATAAGTCGCGTTTGGTAAAGAAAAAATTAAAATTCTTGTTTTTCACTAATTTTAATAGGTTTTAGAGATTAGGAAAAAATCACCCATTTTTGTATAAGATCAATGTCTTTTTTTACACGTTTCTTTTTTACACGGCTTCTTCTGGAACCAATCTACCGTGTAAATACAGACTTAGGTGTATATATATATGTATATATGTTCTATATAGTTTATAACATTCTGGTCTAGATCACCATCTTCAGATTAAAAAGAAGTATCTGGATTCAAACGTGCTTTACTTTAAAATACAAATAAAATATTCTGTCAACGGACCTAGAATTTACGAACTGCAAATACCAATTTTAAGACAAATCCGCTTTTCACATTTTTTTTTAAATCGGATAAAATATTTTAGCTCACAAAAAAATAAAAATTCAAAAAAAAAAATTTGACGCCTTCGAAAAAATCCTCAACTGGCGTAGATACAATCAATTTCAGAATAAGGCCGGCTTTGTTGTTTGTTTGGGGGTCGAACATTTTTCAATTTCTTTAGATATGAAACGGACGTAAAACAATTGATTTCTTGTTTTGGTTTTAAAAACTAAAAAAGGCGAATAAAAATGCAACAATTCAAAGAGCATTTGAAGAAATTTGTGTAATAAATCTGAATTCAGAGCCCCTAAACGAGTTGGCTGTCAAAAGATGTCATTTTGGAAAAAAACAGTAAATTTGGATGGAATGCGTGCGGAATGCGTATGAACATTTGGAGACCACAAGAATCTTAAAATCCATACGGAAATTGGAAGAAAATCATGGAATAAATCAAGAATCAAACCTATCAAACGAGCTTGTTGTCATTCTCGAAACATTGTCTAAAATTATTAAATTAAATTGGAAAATCATCGTAGACAAAATAAAACCTGGATAACATACGGAATATATCTGAATGCTTTTATTAATGCAGACCTTATCTACGGATATCCGGGGAATATTTTGAGATGCCACAAACGTAATGACATAAGTTGTGTTCCAGTACTTTTTTACTAGTAAAACTAGCAGAAGAGAGAACAGTTCGAAATGTCATTCTCATTTAGGTTTGCTCAAAAAATAAGGGAACGGAAAATTAGCAGAAATGCGATAAAATGTCAAAATTCAAAATTCCAAAAGTAAACAGCATAAATCGGACTGGTGAAACCTTACTGAAAAGATAATTTTCCATATTGAAATGTATCAATACATTTTTCAACCTTGTTAGCCCTGCCAATTAAATGTCAAATTTACAATATGCACATTTCTGCTCGGCCAAATTCATGTAGCTAAAACAAGCAGAAATGTGCACCACTCAGCGCCATTTTTTTCTCGAGAGAGCTGCAAGTTTTGCTAGTTTTTGGAGTACGGGAACGCGTTGTAGCAGAATTAGTGCTAATTAGTACTAATTTGCAGGTTCTGGAACACAACTATAATTAAACTCCCATCTTATAGTGCGGTGCAAAAAAAAATATATAATAGTTCCCCTTTCAATTGCTGCTATTTTTCATATCCCTCGCTCTACGATAACTGATTTTTCTTTTGTGATATCGAACAAATTTCAAAACGTCACTACACATTCACAGAGATTTTAGCGATATTATTCACCGGAATTGTTTCAAATTTGGAATTTTTAACGGATTTTATTGTTTTTGAGAATTGTCCAATTCGTTCCAAAGTTCGGCCCGAACGAACTTACAGCTTTTTTACTTGTTAAACTTGAAATGTGAATAAACAAAACTTTTCTTTAAAATCTTTGCTTGCAATAACGGTCCAACTCGAACAAAATTTAGAAGATAAGTGTGTACATATATTACTTTCTGGATTCTAAGCAGTTCCTAACATTCTGGTCTGGACACATTTATATTGTATCAATTCATAAAGGGTTTACAGAGCCGCATTAAAATCCTACCGTCGTTTTCCATTATAATTTGACATTAATATGCTTAGCCATGACATCAAGCTTTTTATGTACTTGCACCTTTAGCATTTCTTGAAATGGCATTGTCTTGAATATGTGAGATTTCAATTACATAAGCGATATTTCAAAAAGTATTGAATTTTTTTGCTCTTTTATTTATTGGCTGACATTGAAGTTGGCTAACATTGAGCCTTTTTGCGAGGATATTTTCTACGTAGTAGTATTTTCAAATATAAAATTGCCTTGCCTCAAAAAAAAAAAATATGTTGAAACCATTTTAATTAAGTGCAATTCTAAGTCTGATAATGATGTAATTATTTTGTTTGTTTCAGTTACAGGACTTCTTATCATGCTGCAGTGGACGACCACTTTATACGTCGGAAATATGTATTGATAAAATGATTGGAAAAAATAAATTTTCACCAAATGTAAGTGACCAGCTACATTAACTAATTGTGTCAAAGGTAAATAAAAACTATTTCTAGTGTTTGATCGATTGCATGTACCGAGAATATCAAATCTATGATGATGATGTGGAGACAATTGACTTGGAGGCAGCCAAAAATCTTTTGAATGAACAAATTGTCAATGAAGAGTTCAATCCAGTTTATGGTCAGGCATTTGAGAGGTGCAGTAAATTTGGTATGGGTTACAAAATTTGCATTGTATATGTACATTCATTTTCAATTCAATATTTATTATTATCTTGTAGAAAAATCTGCATTACTTGAAGTCTTCGCTTTTGTTAACATCACCAATCAGAATGCCTGTGATGATTACCCCATGTTTATGGATTCGTGTGTGTGGGCATATACTGTGGCCAATTGTCCCGAATCACATGCATTGCAAAGTGCCGAGTGTAGGCAAAAAACTGAATGGGTTAATAAATGTCTGTTCAAAGAATAATATAAAAATATTTTACACATATATTTTCAAATATATTAATTTTGACTTACTACAACAATAAATGTTTATATAATTCTAATTCTATGAAAAGTTACAAGACTTAAATCTAAAAATGTAAACCGAACTTTTAACTTTGACTAAAATTTAACTAATTCAATCAGTTTTCAATACATAATGGGCAACAGGAGCATTAGTAGTTTGTTGTTGTTGTTTATTATACTGCTTCAGAGTACCAAGATTCAGATTTAAAACCTGTGGATTTTGGTTTAAAATTTTTGGCTTGGTATTAAGAATCTTATGGTTTTGATGCAGGGGCTGCGTTGTTTGTTTCAAAGTTCCCGAGTTGATATTAGGTATATGTTGCTGTTGCTTTAACGGCTGATTTATAATTTGGCACGCCGTTCCTGGATTTGTATTGACAGTAATCTTCCTTATGAATGGATTTACTAATTTTGCTCCCTTTTCCGGTCCATTCGTCAGCCTATTTGCAAGTTCTCCCTGTCCCGACATCTGCTCAGCAGATGAATTACAGCAAGAATATTGTTGGGTCAATTCCAATACCTGTTCGTCTTCCTGTAGCGGTGGTATGTTACATAAAACTTTATATTTACTATAAGTAGATGAGGCCTTGTTGACACATCGTTCACGAAACAGTTCCTTAAGTTTGTTGGACATGCATTGTGAACGGTTGGAATTCGTTAGTAAGTCAAAGGCACTCATGGGGGTTTTATGTCTTTTCTGCAGTGATGTAAAAGAAATCGAAGGACCAAGAACGGATTTTTGGAGCGAGTTCGTTGCCGGTTGCTGTTGTTGTTGACGTTTCAGAGCTCTTGAAGAAATTCGTACCTTTTTATCGACCACTAACTTTCGTTTACGAACCTCAATGCGGTGTGAAGGCCCTGTGCCTTGTGTGGGATTCACCAAATAAGTGGGTTTAAAATTTGATGGCTTTTGAAATTCTGCTGTGGTATTCTTTTTTGTTACACCACCCCGCTTGGAATAGGTTCTAATGGGGGTTTTACATTTACGCCATTTCGAGTTGGAACTATCGATGTGTTGTGGCGGCCTCAGTTGTTTATTCAAAGGTGTGGAACACACCACTCCGGATCCACTTCTCGAGCCACCAATGGGCGTTGATGGTATCCTAAAGCTACACGATACATTCGACATATTATGGAGATCTTCACGTGTAACACTGTTAACATTTGATTTGGAGCTTGAAGAAGTTATTAAACGACCCACTTTGCTGGGTGTACCATCCGGACGGTTGTGATAGAGACGCATAACTTTTACACCCCGCGGCAGGTTAATAACACGATCATCACCCAACTGCAATCTTTGTACTGGTGCGGCTCTTCTAAAGGGTTCTGGTGTGGGCAATGAAGCTGCACTACTTCCAAACGTGTCTCCGCCGCCGCCACCATTATGTGCCAAGGATTTTTCTCTTTTCAGAGCTGTGCTATTTGCCAATGGTCTCATATTCTCTTTATCGTTGACATCCAGGGAAGTCCTCTTCTCCTGCTTCATAATGATTTGGCCGGTTATTTTTTGTGCCAACTGACAGCAGCGACGATTTGGTATAATATTTAGAAGTGTTATTCTTCCATTCTGATCAATTTGTGGCATAAATATCTCGGATTCTTTGCTATCAGCTTCCACCAGAATCACATTATTTCCAGCCATCAATTTTATTCGATAATCTATTTTATTCCCAGCCATCTTTTCGTTTTGTATTTTATTTCCATGGACTTTTGGGGAAATGTGCAACAATTATTAGTTATTTTAAAAAAATTAATCAAATTTCTGTGCGACGCGCTATACACAAAACAAAAAATATAATTTTGACGTTTACCCCGATAACACCCTATGATGATATTGTGTTATCGATAACATCACAGGGCGATAAGAAATACTTTGATGATGTGATGTGGCAACACATCAACTCTCTCATTTTTACCCTTGTGATCATGGTACAGTTACAGGAGGTAGAATAAAGCTACCTCCTAAATCATTTCGACAGCAGTCGAAATTATTTTGGAATTAAAAGTTTTAACAAAATAGTATTTAAATTAGGTAAAATTGTTAAAAAATGCATACCTTGCCCACCTCTGAGACTCAATTCTTGTTCTATGAAAATTTAAAATAAAGAAATTATAAAGAATAGAAATGTCAAATGAAAAATATTATAAAGGAAATATTTTTGATTCTATATTTTCATAGAACAACAATCCAGCCCCTGAACGGTATCTTATAAGAAAATATATATATGGTCTGTTCTATGTCACAATTACAGAAAGTAAAGCAAAGCTGTCAAAACGTAACAAATTGCATAATTTTGTATTGTCCTACTATTTTAGATTCAATCGAGTCGAATAACCCCGAAATTCCATTCTTGTTTCGTGGGTTTTTCCCAATATAAGATTTTGTTTAAAAAAATTAAAAATAAACAAAGCCAACTGTTGCATATTTAAATGTCTAGTTGACACTATAAGACTCCAGCTTAGAGATACATTTATCTAGTTGCTTCTTATTGAGCCATGCTACTATTGAAGATTCAATTTTACGGAATAACCCCAACATTCCATTAATGTTTTGTGGTTCTTCCCCAATATAAGGTTTTTTTTTTCAAAAACAAAAAAAGAAGTAAAGTAAACACAACCAATTGCTGAAAGCGTCTATTTGGCGTTATAAGGCACCGGTACAGAGTTGCATTTTTGCAAATTTTTAGAAGTTGAGCAACCTTTAATGTGGGAATACATAAAAAGCACTTTTGACTGACTTAAGTCATCGGCTTGCTCCTTCGTATGGGAACAAAGGAGTTATATGTTAATTTAGTTCGATTTTGGCCCTACGCTCCTTTGATCTTTTCCGAAGAAGCCAGTCAAAAAAGCGTGTTATATATTCTCACCTTTATGGTTGAGCCATACTACAGCCAATGACAAAAAATTGCGTATGCAGGTCCACATCTTCGGCATTGTGTTGATTTTAACGACGCTATTCACCTGATTTGTTTCCATGGTACAATAAAGTAGAGCAGATTCGTAAAATTGCCAAAACGCAAACCTAAGGGTGTAAGTACATAAGAAGCTTGAAGTTCTGGCTAGGCATATTTTATGACATTTCATAAAGGGATTACAGAGCCGCACTAAAATTCTGCCGTCGTTTTCCATTATAATTTGACATTAATATGCCTAGCCATGACTTCAAGCTTTTTATGTACTTGTACCTTAAGGCTCTGTCCGCTTTCTGTCAAAAATAGTTATGGTGTTTCATGGCAGAAGAATACAGGTTGATGCATCAACGCTTGGGAGCATTGATATGTCAAAAAAATTTAAATGTTTTCTTCAAGTCATTCGGAGGCTATGTTTATGTTATAGTACGTTTATATATATATATGAAGGTTAACCCACTGGATTTGGATTTAAATTGTCATATCCATTACTTTTACTTCAAATAAATCCTCTCAAAGTAGGTTAACCCTACAAAAAGTTCTAACGTAAACATGGCATTAGGACTTTTGTAGGGCTAACCTACTTTAAGAGGATTTATTTGAAGTATGAGTATTGGATATGACAATCCATGGTAGAAGAATATGCTTGTATTTTTTGTGTATGTATCGTTTATTTATGTATTTGTATCGTGTATCGTTTATTTAGTGTTGTACTTCAATTATCGGTATTTGTAATATAACTACAGGTTTGTTTATGAATAAAATATGAGCTTAAACCTAATTCTACTACATATTTCAAATATTTTACGGAAATGCAAATCAATGTATTGCTATAAACCTTCATGCATTCTTTACATTACGTCAACCACTAATCAAACATAAGTTTTGTGTAGTTGGCAACTCCACAGCATATATAATTGTCATTGTTATCGAGTACACACAATCGATAACTGTGTCAATTGGTGTTATTTTTTTTTTGAAATGTTATCGAATTTTATATCTCAATCTGAGAGATATGATTTGTGGCAGCAATTAACGAGTAAAAGCCGAAGAAAGGTGTTGTACGCGCGTTGTTAACGGTAGTCGAACGGAAGAAGAAAAAGTGTCGCTGTTGTGTGTGTGTTTGTTAGATAAAAATAATAACAACAACAAAAATAATTTCAAAATATTAAAAAATATATATATTTATGCGATGGCATAAATGCAAATCCCTCCATAGTAATTGTTATTAAATGAAATTATGAGAAAATAGCAAAAAAAAATATGCGAATGTGTCATTTTCTAAACTAAATCGAGAAGAAAAATAAGGTAATGCAAAAAATAAAGAAACAACAAAATAACATTCCTATGCTATGGAGTGAAAATCATATGAAATCACCATAAATGTGACGATACATCATTATGGCAACAACAACACCAGCAACAACATAATCATAACAAAAAATGAAAACAAAATGATTTAAATAGGAGAATAAACAAAGAAAGAAGTACAACCATAGAAATAGAAATTCAAAACAAAAACCTCTTAGTAAAGTGACGTAAAGCGGTGTGTGAATGAGTGATTGGTGGCGGTGTTGTGGTTGTTGTTAAGTGATAACATTTTTGAAAGGAAATGAACGTTAAAATGTTAATTTCAAGAAGAAAATTCCTTAATTTTGAAGTGAATCATTTTTATAGAAGTAGAAAATAAAAATGTTGTTGTTGTTGTACTATTTGTCTACATGTGCCTTCGTGCTGTAAAAAATTTCTTGTATTGGAGAATTATGTTTTTCTTGTTGGTATAGGTCATTGAAACCTGTTAAAGCAGGGGCCTACACATCAAACCGAACAGCCAGGAAAAATACCTACCAAAAAAATAAGAAACAAGTGCGGGGAAATTTTAAAGAAAAACTTGTTCATTCCTTTGCTTCAACAACTAGTTGGCTGCTTGACTGTGGTTTGTGCGCAGTGTTACCGCTGGGAATTTTGAAAAAGTTGCACAAAAAGTCATTTTCATACAAAAAAGTCGCACAGAAAAGTCAGAATTTCAATAAAAAGTCGCACAGATTAATTTTGAAGATTTTTATTCAAACAAAGAACATAAAACATAAAAAACATAAAACTAAATAACAATTCAATAAAAAATAATACAAAATTAAATTATAATTTCATTTTTTTGAAACTTCGTTTCTGTATTTTTGTACGAGATCATCACTGGGATTCCATTCCTCTATTCCTGCATCTAGCAAATTTAGAGCTGATAGCATGGATCCACAAGTTGTTACATTTAATCTATTAGTTAATTTTGTTTTCATTAGTCCTAATTTAGAAAAAATTCTTTCCGCAGAAGCGCTGCTATGGGGCAGGGTTAATACATGTGCGGCAAAATCGTATAGGTGTAAATATAAAGGTTCGTTTAAAGCATTTTTTAAACTACCTATAGTATGCCAAAAAATCTCAACATTTTTAATGTTAAAAATGTGTTTGTATGACTTATCATTAACTTTACTTTCTAATAGTTTGAATTCGCTAATAAAAGCTTCAGGTTCACTTATAATATAATTAAATTCATATATGAGATCAATATAATTAAAGTCTTCGTTTGAGGTAAAAAATGTTGGTTGCAAAACTCTTAAAACATTTAATTGTTTATCGTTTATATTTATCCTTGACAGTATCTCGTCACAAAGTTTTTGGTAAAATTTTAAAATATTGTTTTTTATAGTTATGCATTCAACATCAAGTATATTTTTAGCTTGCATTTCTGTTTCAGCTTCATGACCTATATATATATTTAAAACATCTTTTATATTATGTGTATCTTTAAAATTTATACTTTCTAGCTTTGTGACCGATATATGTTCCTTCTTCAGGAAATTTTGTAAAATTTGGAGTAAAATTTCCTTTGTATATGTAATCAGGTATACTATTTGTGATGACTCGCTTTGAAAGCATTTGTTAAATTTATTCATAAGACCCAAAATATATACCAAGAATTTTAAATAAATGAGGTTTTCAGACGACAATCCATCTTGAATTGCACGTATTTTATCCATTGTCCTTGGACATTTTTCTTCACATTGAGCCCGAAGGAAATAATGTTGTAATATCGTCCATTGTTCTACAATTCGTTTTGCCACCGACTCGAACGAAAGCCATCTAGTATCCGAAAGACTTAAAAGCTTGTGTTCTGGGACATTGAACATATCCTGCAATTCTGAAAAATCTACTCGCCTGTTTGAACTTTTGAAAAAATTATAAATGTTCTTGGGTAACTTTTCAACTTCTTCTGGTATACATTTCAAAGCTGAAATATTCATAAGATTTACAGAATGACAAACGCAACCAAGATGGAACAGGTGGGGGATTTTCTTTTTTAATAAACTAGACACCCCAATGTTTTTCCCAACCATACTGGAAGCGTTGTCAGTTGCAAACCCGATAAAATTTTCTAAGGGAATCTTATTATTTTCTAGTGATTCAATAACGGCATTACAAATTGTTTCGCCTTTTCCATTTTCTGGTTGTACTAATTGAAAAAAATTATCTTCAGTCTTTCCTCGGTCCTTGTTGAATTGCCTCACTACCATTACTAGACATTTATTGATGGAAATGTCGGTTGTCTCGTCTATAATGAGGCTAAATTGTTGTTTTTGCATTTTAGAGACTATAGCGAGTTGACCTTCTTTACCGAGAAACTGTGCAATTGCAGTTGATTTTGTACGACCACATGATACCTTAATAATTAAACAATATATATACCTATTGCTTTTTGGTACCAAAATATGTTTACATACCAATTTAGCTATATTTGAATCAGGAAAAATCATGGAATTGAATTTACCAAGTCCGTCCATAGAATTGAAAGATTGGTTTTTTGTAATTGCACGTAACACCAACTTAATTTCAGCAATAGCGACATGTTTTCGTAAGTCTGTATTTCGATGTGGCAAATAATCAGTCAGTTGTATTTTCGCATTTTCAGATGTTTTGGTTATGTTACTAAGATGTTTCTTTGTTTCAGCATGTCGTCGAAGATGGTTTTTTTGGTTTGACAAAAGTTGTTTACAAACAATGCACAGGGGCCGCTTTGTCTCACCATCTTGCTTAAGCCACCTGTATTGCATCTCCCATTCCTTGGAATAATACCGGGAAATATTGCGTTTTTTGGAGGAACATGAAGGTTCTTCATCATTTTCCGATTCGGACTCGGTGTTCTTTTCAGATTCTGAACTTGTTTCAATTATCGTGTCAGCTCCTTTGCCCAGGGTCAGCCTTGCTTTGTTGGGAGATTCATCGTCAGCCTTTCTTTTTGATCTAACAATAAATCTATTAAGTTTAAACATTAATATTTGAAAAATTAAAAAAAAAAAAACAAATATTTACCTGTCCATAGAAGATTTTTACAAACACTTGTTTTTAATATAAAATGAGCACAAGCGTCTAAAAACTGAATATTGTTTTCAAAATAACACAAAATACTAATTATTTACTTCACTGAATTCAATTTAATGCTGTACTCTTTATTTTTAATTATATATTTAATTGCACTCCTCTTTCGCCAATGTCGTTGTTTTCGTTTTTCAAAGAATAATGATCAAAAGGTAACACAAACAACTGATCAAACTACTGTGTCGCATAATTGCAGCGTACGGCGTTAGCAATAGCGACGTGAAATTAGTTTGAATTTGAACGGCATGTACATTTGAACTTTTACAGGGTTTACCTCATCTATGATGATTTATTTGACATATATGTGAAATACTGTACACTAAATCCAGTACAATATAAATGCACTATACCAAATAAAAAAGAATAGAACTTATATTGTTGAGCAATAAAAAAGTCGCAAAAAGGTCGCACAAAGTTTAAAAAGTGGCAAAATTAGAAGATAATAAAAAAGTTGCACATATAGTCACAGATCATCAAAAAGGTTGCAAATTGCAACTTTAGTCGCACAACGGTAACCCTGTTTGTGCGTTTTGTTTACAAAAAAAAAAAACGAATATTGTTTGATGTTTTATGTTCTCTCTCTCTCTCTTTCTTGTTTGATCAATTGCTCTTGGCCGTTAGTAGTGAGAATTTAGAGAGAAAGAGCGAATCAGTGAGTTTCTTTTTGAAGTCGGGCTCAGAAGAAGTTATTGAAAATTGTATTTTGTTGAAATGAAAATGGTCAGCGTTTATCCCCCCAATCGTAATCTTTGTTTGATTAGAAATTAAATTGAGTTGTTTTTTGTTGTTGCATGGTCTTTTGTAGATAACGTTGTTGGTGTTAGCTCCGACTACTGCAATGTGACATGTGTACGGTGCACATGCACGAAATACCAACCTGTCAAATTTGTTTGTATCGACGTATTTAACAATCGTTAATAGAGTGGAGATTGCATTTTTTCACAGTGGTTGAAAATGTGAAAATATTTGACAAAGAGAAAAGTAACAGGCATTAAATTCGAATCCGCTATTCAGTTTGAAAATTTAACTATAGGTAACTTTTCTTGCCCTGATGATAACGAAGTAAAGGGTTTTGAACGAGATGTGTTATTTTGGTATTTAAAGAATCATGCCATTTTTGTATCATCCACCATACATAGTATGTAGGGTATATTAAGTTCGTCATTCCGTTTGTAACTCATCGAAATAATAATTTTAGACATAACAAGGTATGGAACAAATTGAGTTTTGCATTTAAAAGTTCTTATTTCGATTATTGATTCAGAAATAGCTAAATAATATCTCGGGAAGTATTGATTTCCCCCCACAAAAAAAAAAAAAAAAAAAGAAAATAATATATGCCGCTGTGATTAGGAAAACAAAAGCTACCTTCGGTAACAATTTCAGAATTTTCCGCCAGCTGGAGATAAACTCAATTTAAGCCCAAAGTATGTATATTCTTGATCAGCGTAAAATTCGAAGACGATTTAGCCTTGTCCGTCCGTTGAAATCACGCTACAGTCAAAACGAATTGAGATAGGAAGCTAAAATTTTGCACAGATCTCTCTTTTGTTTGCAGGCAGGTCAAGTTCGAAGATGGTCTATATCGGTGCACGATATCTTATAGCCCCCATATAACGGTACCCCCCGATATTCGGTATTTTGATGATTTTGACCACATTTTTCAACGAAAATGTCTAAAAATCCACACAAGGAGTTTCTTGTTAGTACTTTATCCCTTGGAAGAGAATAATCTGCATAGGTCCACGATATCGTAAAGCTAATACCGATATTCGGTATTTTCATGATTTAAGCCACATTTTTCAACGGATTTGTCTGAAAATTCACACAAGGAGTTCCTTCTGAGTACCTTATCCCTCGGAAGAGAATTATCTATATAGTATAGCCCTCATATAAAGGTTCGTAATGAGAACTAAAGGTTGATATGAAAAAACTGCAACCAACTTCAGACTGCTGTTATTTCAAAGCCACTCGTCCGACAGCTGTTAAAATTATTCCAGTGACAGATCATTATATTATTTACAAACGTACAAAAGCATTTTGGTGAGAATTTTTCAGAAAAAAGTTATTCGTTATGGAATACAAGCGTGATAGTGCGATTTCTTTATATTTGGCTGGAAAACCACAAGTGGCTATCGCTAGAGCGCTCCAGCATTTAAATGTGAATAAATCCTTTGTGTTTTGTACCGTCGCTCGTTACCGTGATACTGGTAGCGAAGCCTGACGTCAAGGAAGTGGACGAAAAAAAAAAAAAAACAGAAACATCAGCAGAAATGGTTCGGCAAATATTGAAAAATTAGCTCCGGGTAAAGCCATTGAAATTCCAAAAAGTGTAAGAACTTACACCGCAACAGACGGAAAATAGACTCAAAAGCGCTAAAGAGTTGCATCGCTTGGCCGAAAGTTGTGAACTGCCGAATTTGGTTTTCTCCGATCGGAAAACATTCATTGTCCATCAGTTTGTAAACAAACAAAATGTTCGTTTTTACTTGCCAGAACTCAACCGCCGGCCATGGTGATGGTGTGGGCCGTGGGCCTCCATAACAGCCGATGGTCAGATTAAATGCCGAATATTATCGCGAAAATATTTTGGAGGGTGTATTTAAACCTTGGGCACGCAAACATTTTGGTTGCAGACCTTGGACATTCCAACACGACTCAGCACCATCACACTCAGCACGCGCCATTTCCAGCGCTTCATTTCCAGCGCACAATGGTCACCAAAATCTACGGATACCAATCCGTTGGACTATTGTGTCTGGAGTATTTTGGAAAGCAAGGTTGGCACTAACAAATGCTAAAGTGTCAATCACCTCATGCAAGCGCTTCGCCGGGAATGGGCCAAAATACTGCAGAACAACATTCGGGTAGCGTGTGACAGTTTCATTGGCCGTTTGAAGGCCATAATTCGTGCCAAAGGTGACCAATTCGAACAAATCTAAACTTATTCTGAAATTTTATGCTATTTCCGACATTTTTTTCTTTCATTCAATAAAATTAAAAAAAAAAAAAATGTAAAAATTATTTCGTTTGACTTGTTGCAGTTTTTTAATCTCACCCTGTATATCTGTACCTCCCTTAATTCAGTATTTTGATGATTTTAGCGACGTTATTCTCCGGAGTTGTGCCAAATTTCGTATTTGAAGTTCCTAATAGTTACTACAGCCTGTGACAGAAAATTGTCTATGCAGGTCCAGGTATAGCCCCCATATAACGGTACCTCCCCATATTCGGTATTTTGATGATTCACCGGATTTCTTTCAAGTTTCGTATTTGAATATTGTAATGGCTTATGATAAAAGTTGCCTATGCAGGTCCATGTCATCGTATAGATCTCAATTAAACGGCTATATCCGCTATTTTAAAGATTTTAACAAAATTTTTTACGATTTTATTTTTTTTTAATTTCCAAATTTTTTTCGAAATGGTGGAGCCGAACTGCTTTTGTATTTGTTTGGAATGAATGTTCTACATAACCAAATGGTAAACGTAAACTACCCAACGGTTTGCGTAGAATTTATCTTTTACGTATACCCAAAGAATGAAGTCGCAATAAATAAATTGCTTTAACTTTAGTAAAAACCCCAGAATATTTAAGGAATTGCAGATAATTTCGTTGTTTCAGTCAATTCCATTGAGACGTGTGGTTAAAATCACCAAAATACCGAATATCGGGGGTAACGTCATATAGGGGCTAAACAATATCGTGGACCGATATAGCCCATCTTCAAAAATTTAGCTTCCTATCTGTTGGGTCTAAAATTATTATTTCGATGAGTTATAAACCGAATGACAAACTTAATATACCCTCCATACTATGCATGGTGGAGGGTATAAAAAAATAAGTGGAACGCGACGACATTAGGAGCTCTAATCTTGCTTTTAAATCCATTAAGTTTAATTTGAATATTATTATTTACACTTGAAGTCTTTAAAGAAATATGCACTGACTTTAAAAGAAATGACTATAATACATGTCTTCGATTGATAACATTTTTATTTTAAATCGATCCACTGTGTTATCGATTTTAACATCAATGGCCGGCAAACTTGTCATTTTGTTTGCATTAACAATCAATCGTGTGTCCCCCTTCCCCACTCCTTTCGGTGTACTTATTACTCTCATTTGACAATACTTGATTCAAACAAAGAATGAATAAAACTCTTTTTCTCTATATCCACAAATTGTTTCATCTCTCTCTCACTCACTCACCTACTGCCGACCGTTACAATTATGAGTAATTGAAAATAAAGCCGAAAAAATGAAAACAAAACGATGATCAAACAAAACGATAAATTTGAGTGTCGTCTTTTGGTTCCTAAGAAACCACAACAGCAGCAACAACAACAACAATAAAATGAAATAAATGAGAACTCAAGAGTAATTGAGTCATATGATACAGGTTTTTTTGTTGTCGATTTACCTGAAAAATAAAACAACAAAAAACAAAAATAAGAAGAGTAAATAGGCATGCTGGTTTAGAGATATTAAAACAAACTGAATTTATTTTGGGGAAAAGAAAATTTTGTGATTCAAATTCCTCACATTTTTTTAATTCATTAAGGAATAAAAATATGTATGTAATTATTGATTTCAGAATAGGATTTATATAAAAAAGTTTTTTTTTTCAATTTTCTAACAAATTTCTCTTTTATTTTACAGAATTTTCTTCGTTAACAAATTGTTTTTTGTTGCATTGTTGTTTGTATTCAATTATAAAATCAATAACAACAAATACGCAGCAGTTGCAATTTTTGTGCTACAACGAAAAAAGGCAACCGATCGAACAACAACATAAGAACAAGAAACTTGTTTTCTTCTTTTCCATTCCGCGCTCTCTATCTCTTTCCCTCTCTGGAAGTTACCATAAAGTAAAACCTGTCTCTCTCTCATAGTCTCTTGTCATCGACAACAACGGCAACTAGCAATAACCCGTTCGTTGCTGCTCTGTTGTGTCAGTGAAATAAAAGGAGTTCAACGAAACCGGAAATACCCTTGAATTGAAAACAAAAACAACAAAGCGTCGTCGTTCATCATTTAAATGAACGAACGAAAGTTATTCGTTTGCAAGGCTAGTTAGTTGTCGAAGAAAAATCCTTTGTTCGAAAAAGAAAAAATCAAAAAATAAGAAAAAATCAAATTAAAAATTAGAATTGTTTTAACACAAATTGTGAAATTCGCTTGGGAGGAAAGAGAAGAGTTTTTTCTTTGCGTTTTTTAGCTGGCTAAAAAACAACCATCATCCATCCGGTGGACCAACCAACTTTCTTTTTGACATTCGTATGTTTTAAACAATTATGTCATGGGATCTTGTACAAGGCGACACTTTTTACTGTCAACATGCTTTCTTCAAATGGTAAGTTTGGAATTTCATTTTTATGCAGCATTTTTTTTTGTTTTAATATACCTACCCATACTAAAATAAATGGAATTTTAAATGATTCATAAACATCTATTATTTGTGGACAAATTAATCAACAAATCGTTGTTATCTATGACGTATGATTTTTAATATGAACAGCTAATTATATTGAAATATTGAATTGTTTGCATTGAATAATGGATTGTTCAAAGAAATTTATCGCACACTTTACACATACATCAACATACAATAGATTTTTTAAATTAAATATTGTTTTGGGGTAAATAATTGTAGATTTTTGTAGACTTGGGAAATATTATAGCCAAAACACCGATTTTTAAATATACTTTTGAACATCGAATTTTTTTATTTTTTTTTATTTAAACAAGTTAAAAAGTATCAGTCGTTTTTAACGACAGATAGGTACCCTCAGCCAATATTCGATTATTTAAATGTACTTTGATTTCTGTTATGATTATTCAAATTGTTGACCCTCTATGGAGTGGATTCCAAAGGAATGGGCCAATATTGTTCATTTCGTATCAGACTTAAATAAATTTGATAGAAATATTGGGACGTGGCAGACTTGGACTATATTGGTTACCTTCTTTACTTTATATGCGATAAATGATATTTTTTAGAAAATTTTGAAATCTGCGTGAGGTACCAGATATAGTTGGGTCGACTATTCATACTTCATTTGAAACGGAAAAGAAATTGGTATAGTCCAAATTACAAGCAAATGCGAAATCATAAAGTTTTTTTTTCTAAATCTTGCACCCTATGTGGAGAGGAGGTACCATGAAGAATGGTCCGATCTCTACCCTCTTCATAACAGATCTTGTGTTGACGGAAAAATTGAAATGTGCCAAGTCTGAAAAGAATCGGATGTAAATTTCGCATTTTATGAGCTTCATGGATTTTCAAAATTTTGACCCTAGGGAGGTACCAGAAGGAGCGGATCGATATATCGCATCTTCACAGCAGATCTTGTGTTAGTAGAAAAAATGGGTTGGGTGAAATGTGAAGAGAACCAAATGCTTATTTCGGATATTATGATCATTTTGATTATTCAAAACTTTGACCCCTTGTGGGGGAGGTACCACGAGGAGTGGTCCAATTCCTACCATCTTTATAACAGATCTTGTGTTGATGAAAATATTGAGATATACCAAGTCTGAATGTAATCGGATGTTCATTTCGCATTTTATGAGCTTCAAGAATATTCAACATTTTGACCTTTTGTGAGGGAGGTACCATAAGGAATGGACCAATATATCCCATCTTCACAGCAGATCTTGTGTTTGTAGAAAAAATGGGTTGGGTGAAATATGAAGAAAATCGGATTTTTATTTCGGAGTTTATAATCGTTTTGGTTATTCAAAACTTTTACCCCATGTGAATAATTATAACTCTTATGAGGGTATAAAAAAAAAACAAATCAGACGTATGGTTAAAATTCTGAGGAATTGGAAAACGTGATCCAATGGGTCCAAATATGTTTTCTAGAGAAAAAAAAAAAACACATTTTTTCCTTCGGACGAAAGCTTTTCTGTTAAAGGAAGAAATTCTCTACCTCTAGGAACAAAAGTTCTGTTGAAAGGAAAAATATTCATCCCCCAGAGACTGAATTTTCTTTTCTAACAAAAAATTTCTTGTTGCTGTAATCCATCTCACTAGAAAATTGACAGCATTCCGAAAGCCAGCGTGTCTGTATTTCACAATCGTCGTTTTTTCTGCTCTGTTAAAAGCACTTCTATCTGCTTCTCGTATTACTTAACTCTTGCTTTGGTTCATGTATCACTTTTTGTGTGCTTCTTCCTTTTTGTTTTTTTTCCCTGTGACCTACTGCAGTCGAGTTTTTTGCTATTAGCATGAACTTTCATTTCGTTATTGTCCTTATTCCTCAATGGCTTTGCAGTCAGTGGTGTTGGGCCGGGTTGTGCTGCTTTGCTACTTCAATTCAATTGTCCGCATTCCATTTTAGGATGTATTTCACTACCATATGGAGTGTTAAACGAGATTGGAAAAAGGAGGAAAAAATAACGACAACAACTAGTCCCACTTAGGTGGAAATAAAGAGGGGATGCAGGGAAAAAGTCATGTGCCACATAACTACATTGTAGTGTGCAAGCAAAACAGACAAAAGTTTGCATAACCCTTGGGCCGTGTTTGGTAGTCGGTGCAGAAAATATCATTAAATTCACAATTTGGCGAAATAAATTCTGACAAATTCAAGACGTCTTTAAGGGATGCAATGGGGGCCCGGGGATTAATGTCAGTTCATTTTTATATAATCAGAGGATAATTTTTTTTATTTTTTATTAGGGTGTTAAATAAACTTTTCTTCTCCAAATTTTAAATTTGACTGTCCATAGCTGCATAGGGCGACGAATAGTCTACATTCGAAATACATATGATCCATACAGGGTGAGATAAAAAAAACTGCAACAAACTCAAACGCCATAATTTTACATTTTTTTAAAAATTATATTGAATAAAAGCAAAAAAAAAAATTCGGAAATACCATCAACTTTTAGAATAAATTTAGATTTGTTCGAATTGGTAACCTTTAGCACGAATTATGGCCTTCAAACGGCCAATGAAACGCTTACACCCTGCCCGAATGTTGATCTGCGGCATTTTGGCGCATTCCCGGCGAAGCGCTTGCTTGAGGTGATCGATACTTTGGTATTTTTTAGTGCCAACCTTGCTTTCCAAAATACTCCAGACACAATAGTCCAACGGATTGGTATCCGGAGATTTTGGTAGCCATTGTGCTCTGGAAATGAAGCGAGGAACCTCATTTTGTAATCATTCTTGAAGAGTGGCTTAAAAATGACAGCTGTCTGAAGTTGGTTGCAGATTTATCATCTCACCTTGTATATGTTTCATTCGATTTGGTGTTTAAGTCCCCCACATTCGTAATATGCACCCCACAAAAATGGTGTTTGGTTTCAAATGCAGTCCAGAAATACCTCTGCCAAATTTTATCAAGATCGGTTCAAATTCTGATATAGCTCCCATATAAAACTTCAAACGATTTCGGGTTAATTGTACACCAAATGGCCAATATCAGTCCAAAAGTCCTGAATTTTGGTACGTCAGACCGAATTCAGTCTAGAAACAAGTACATCAAATTTGAAGAAAATCGGTTCAGATATAGCTATAGCTCCCATATATATGTTTCATCCGATTTGGTAATATGCATTCGACAACAATGATATTTGGTACCAGATATCTTATAGAGCTCGGAAATATATATCCTTATTATATATATCCTTATTCCGATTTCAGGTTTATTGTGCAAATAATGCCTAATTTCAGACCAAATTGGATTGAATTTCGGGAAGTATTTCCATTTATGTTTCCATTTTGTAGAACTCGGCTCCGATATTTATATTTTTTAATAAAATCCTTCTTGAAGTGATATCATGCACTCTATACCAATATTTTTTGTATAAAAGATAAAAGTGTCTCCGTCAAATTTGGTGAAAATCGATTCAGAATTGGATATGTCTACCATTTATTAGTTCCCTCTGAAACCAAACTATAACTGCTCTAAAGCCAAATGTTGATAGGTGGTATGATCTACTTCAAATAAATTCTTTTACTACGGGAGCTCTGCTAAACATGCATAGTGGTGTGGGGTATCATATAGTCAGCCCCGCCCGACTATTGACTTTTCCTTATTGTTTTTTTTTTTTTTCTAAAAACTTGTATTTTTTATGTGGCGCCCAACGTAGTGCTAGATTCAAAATTGTGTTTTTTTAAATATTTGATATTAAGATATTTTTTAAGCACCGTTGTTCATAGATAACCTCATTTCTGGACAAGAAGAAACATGATTTTCTTTTCATTTCGCATTGAAATTTTCGTCTCGAATTGGATTTTTTTTCAGAATTTTGCATTCATATGTCTTACTTAATTATTGCCTTAAATTGATTTGCATTACAATTTACATAGCCCCTGTGACGAAATCTTACTAAAAAGTGATAACATTGAAATGGCGCCCAACGCAGGGCCAGTCTTAAAAAACACTCATTTTCATAGATTTTTGTTGTTATTACATTATTTAGTTTGATTATTTTTTGCTCTCCTACGAAATTACAACTTAGATGAGTATTTAAGTAAATTTTCTGAAAATCCCCACACCCCCATGTCAAACATATCTTCGCCCTCGCTTTCAATAAGACTACACTATTAATTACAAACGGCCTTAAAGGTCGTTTTTATTAAAGGCTATTTTTATGCATTCTCCATACATTTCGTTTTCACATTAATTGACCACATTTTTGTTGTTGTTGTTTTCCAAGAAAATAATAAATATTCCAATACAATATTGCATCATAACATAGCATGTATGCTTTGTTCTCTCTCTCTCTTTGTAAAGACAACAAAAAACACAACGTTTTCTATGTTGCAAAGTAGCCAGTCTGGCAGACGGACGGACAGACAAACAGACAGATACAGCAGACACAAGAAGGAAACACCGAAGGCCCTTGCTTTTGTTGGAATCTCAATTCATTCCACACATTGTCATAAGGTGTGCTACGTGAGCCATCCATAAAAGGATTTTCAAACAGACAATCAACGACTTTTTAATTATTTGTATAGATGGGTGTACAATGTTTTGGGTTTTTATATAGAAGAAATATTTATTAATTAATCATAAATTTATGTCAGACAACAGAATGACCAAAAGCAAAAAAAAAAAAAAACCTATCCAGAAATTCGTTATTCGTTTTTGGGTGGAAGTGATCAAGACGAATGCCATTCTTACATTTCATTTAAAAATTGAAAAAAGTAACGCAAAATATTTGATTTTTTCAAAAGTCAACATAAATTATTAAATAAAAATTATGTATTTATGAATATAAAAAAAATTATGTTTCAAATAATATTTAAAATTACTGGAAGTTCATAAAAATAAATATTTAAAATAAAAAGTAAATAAAGAAAAGTCAAGGGTAACCCCGTCGAATTTCTAAAAG